TGTAGTGCTGGAAAATAGATCTAAGGATGCCACGGGATGCTAAAAAAATAAATAAAAATAAATACTGAGCCCCAGAGGAAATGAAGCTGAACTCTCACTAGATGTAAAGATGACTAAACTGAGGCTGTCATATTTTGACATACTATGAAATGATGTGGCTCACTGGAAAAGATGATAATATTTGGAAAAATGGAAGGAAAAGAGGAAAACAGCTTTATAGATTGATTGAGGAAGCCACAACTCTTGAGTTTGGAAGTCCTCAGCAGGGCAGTTGATGACTGGGGCTCTTGGAGATCTCTCATTCATAGGGCAACCATAAGTCAAAGGCAGCTTCATGGCAAATTGTTGTTGTACACCTTCAAGTCATTTCTGTCTTTTGAAAATCCTAATGTGACCTTTTCATAAGGTTTTCTTGGCAAGGTTTGTTCAGAGGGAGTTTGCCTTTGCCTTCTTCTGGGGCTGAGACTTGCCAAAGGTCACCCAGTTGGTTTCCATGCCAGGAATTCGAACCCAGGTCTCCAGAGTCATAGTCCAGTGCTCAAACTATACCACACTGGCTTTTTGATGGCAAATACTAACAACAAATAGTCCATTCTTCTTCCAGTAGAGAAGCAACTGAGGCAACTCACAGTTTAAATTAAAACAACAAATAAATTAAGTACAGCAAAACACAAATCTTAGTGGTATACAGTACTTAAAGGCTGAAATCTTATTGGTCTTTTGATTTTAAAAAAGGTTTACTTTTTGGCATCACTTCCATATTTCATTCATGGTGGTGGTGGTTGTTAACTGCTATCAAGTTGATTTTGACTTATGGTTTCCTTATTAATGAGCCCTCCTCAGGTCTTGCAAACTCATGCTGCAAGTGTAGCTATTGCACATGCAGTTATATGTTATTGGATGGTGTTTAACTATTCATAAGTACTTCTGGTTATACATTTACTGGGATGGCAAAAATCAATCACTGTGCACAAAGGATTAAAAAGCAAGCACATTTGCAGATAGGCAATTGTTTGTGCAGTGTTGGCATTAGGTGAAAGGATGTCATAATGCAACCATCACTTATTTTAGTTTAGATGTACGTGACACAAGAGTGTAGGGTCTTAACTAAAACCAGAAAAAATATGTTCAAATCCAAAAGCTTGAATTCAGTTGGTTGACTTAAAAATGCAGACCAAACAAAATTTGTCTTCTGGGGTTCCAGTTGTGTGCAAGCATGTGTGTCTGTGGCTTTTAATCTGTGAAATGCTGGAGGATTCTCAGCCATCACTTTGAAGCAGTAGCCAAGTCGTGGCCATTTGCTGCTTTGGTTCTACAGTGGGCATTCCTTCATGGGCCAGAATTGGAGACAAAATTGTGAGCTGAGCATGCAGCATCAATAATAAATGCAGATTCTTGGGCTGTAGAAACCTCTTGTTTTCTACACAGAAGCGGAGGTTCGGTGAAGTCGTGATTCTTTTTCAGTGTTATTATATTTAGTCCTGCTTACACTCACTATTACTTTCTTAGAAATGTTTTTAACAGAATCTTGAGGAAGGCATAAGAACTTAGGATAAAACCCTTCAGAAGAAGTTTAAAGGAACTGGAGTTTGGTAAAATTCAAAAGCAGCAGGGTAGCTCAGCTTCTCAAAGGATTTGAGATATAAGTTCTGAACTTGAGGGTTCAAACAACCTCTAAGCAGCTTGGTTGAAACCAGGGCCTGTCCTCTTATTAGGCAAAGCTCATCAGATCAGATGCAGACAGCAGATTTTGGAGTATTGTTAAGAGGCAGTGATTATTAGTGATTTCACTTATTTTGCTTTTATCACCATGGAAGGAATTGCCATTTGATCTTTTTGCTTCACAATATCTTGACTTGGCTTCTGGGCTTTCAGCAGACATTGCCCATTAGGGTGGACAAATGAAAAGAAGTTAAGGCTCTAATACTTTTTACAGTTGTGTGAAGAAGCAGAGGGCAACCCTCCTCTGCACAACTATCAATGATGTAAGAGTCCTCCTTTGTTTTTCATGGAGGGTTGGGGAGTATAAGGTGGATGACCCTTTGACTGTTGGATATTTGCTCCAGAAAGTCAGACCCCATGCCTATTTTGTTGTGAATTCAGCCTCATGGGAGGAGGGACTTTCTAAATTCCACCTTAGCATTTTAACAGTGAGCTTTATCACTTTTAATATGGGTTTTTATACTGCTCTGCCATCTGCTGCTTTAGATTTTACTGTTGTTTCCTTGCCTGCATTTTATTATTTGCTGTTCCTTTATTATATTTCTGATTTTATCATTAAAACTTCCAAGAAAGTACAGTATCTTGCACAGGACACCTATAAACAACTGCACTAAATAACTATCATTTTTCCAGATCAGGGGTGTCACAAGGAGGGTACTACTCTTTCCAGTTGGCTCTGGCAAAAGGAATCTGCTCAAACCTCACCACGCTTGTGCATTTTCCTTCATTAAATACTATTGCCATCTTGATCACACATTTGGTCTTGGTTTTCATGTGTGAATTGTTGGAGGGTATATCACCTCTAAATGTGACCTCAATGTATGTTTAATCTTGTACTGAACTCAATCCAAACTGGCCTCCTAATCATATTGGCCATCCTTATTCTACTCTCTAGAATCAGTTCATTTGACATCCTGCCCTGTTGTACCTCTCTTTCCCTATAGTGTTGATTTCTGTCATTTCTGTCATTTCATTTCTTTCATCTATAAGCTGCCTTTCCATTAGAAAAGGAAACTAACAACAATAAAAATAAAATAAAATAAAACAAAAATTTTATTTGTGTCCCGCTTTTCTACTATAATAGCAATCAAGGCGGCTTACATGTTAAAACAGACCAATACAATACATAATAACAATACATGATAATATATCTTACCCCCCTTAAAAAAAAGAATTAAACTTAGCACAGTTTAAAAAATATAGTCTGTTAAAATTTATTAATAGCAAATGGTCTATTGGGCAGAGAGGCAGCATAATACAAGTGTAAGGGGGCTTGTTTATAGCCAAGGAATTCTATTCAGGAAAGGCCTGCCAGAAGAGATCCATCTTGACAGCTTTTTTGAAGCTATCTAAGGGCCTCTGCAGACAGGCGGCCATGGGCTGCCCCAAGAAGCCACGGATTGGGGCCGAGGTACCTGCACTCCTCAGCCCCAATGCACCCCTCTTCAGGCCTTGGAAGGGGCGCTCCTTCCGCAAGGCACCAAAGGTGCACCACAAGAGGCGTTGGGCACCTCTTCGGCATCTCTTCCGTTGCAGCGTGTCCGGCCGCTGCAGCGGAAGGACGTCATCAGAGCGCCCGTCGTGTGGAGCGATGGGTGCTCTGATGACGTGTTTGGGAAGGGGTTGGGGCGCCCAATGTGAGGCTGCCCCTCCCCTTCCTTACTTTCAAGACAGCGCAAAGCGCCATCTGCAAAGGGGGTAAGTTCGTAAGTTGACGGATCTCCTCTGTCAACAAAATTTTGATTGGAAACAAAATGTTAATTAAAATCAGTAACATAAAAAACAAGAAAACTGTTAAGACTCCACTCAGCTATTGAAAGTCTCTTTGACAGGCATGTTTAAATAGTTGAAAGGATGTTACATTGAAGATGGAGCAAGCTTGTTTTCTGCTGTGCCAGAGACTAGGACAGAGAGCAATAGGTTCAAACTGCAGGAAAAGAGATTCCACCTCAAAATTAGGAAGAACTTCCTGATGGTAAGAGCTGTTCAATAGTGGAATATACTGCCTTGGTGGAGTCTCCTTCTTTCGAGGTTTTTAAACTGAGGCTGGATGGCCATCTCTTGGGATGTTTTGATTGGATTGGATGACCCTTGTGGTCTCTTCCAGTTCTGTGATTCAGTGAAAGCATTGTCTGCCAATCAATGGGATTTTGTCAACAAAGTACCTGCTTTTCCATTTCAACACTCTGAAAACCAAAGGCACAATTACCAGTTAAAACAACCGTAAAGAGAGAATAATAATTAACACCCCCCTTTCACTTTTCAAAGAGTGGAGGGAAAACAAATGCCTTACTCTGTATTCAGTTAAAAGCTTTTAAATTGCTACAAACATTCCATTAAAAATGAAATTCCCTACAGACCAATTATGGCCAGCTATGGCCAACTCTTTTCCTTATGGCCATAGATAACGACAAGAGAAAATATATTTCTTGGCTGTTGATTTGACATCTGTGACAATTCTACAAACACAACTCTTAGGAGTTCTGCAAAGATGTGCGACCAGGGATTTCAAACTTTAATCCAATAAGCTCTTTTCAGGCCTTACTTGAGAGATCAGGAAAGGGGGATGAACTCTTATTCTCTACCACTGATGATCATTCAATGTGCTGCAATGGCCATGTGTAGTGAGTTTTATTTCTAAATTTCAATCGAGCCAAGAAACATCTGTTGGTTTTTACTGCTACATTTCTGTTGAATCACTGAAAGCATTTCAGTCCTTTCTATGGATGTTGGAATACAACTTCCATCATCCTAGCCAGCAGCTCTTGAGGAAAAGGGATGGAGTGTAAGGAGAGGTGAAAGAAAAGAGAAATCAGAGAGATTTCAGAAGGGTGATAGCCTCTTCAACTGGAGTGGCAAAAGATAAAATGAAAAAGGATAATGTTGCTGAATTGACAATTGACAGTACCATTGAGCAGAATGCTAGGGGCAACTCCTGCTTTTGTAGGTTTCAAACGATATCTGAGTCTCTATTGATGTGTGCAAATTATAACACATCTGGAACAGTGTGCAATTGCCCCTATTCTGGAATATCACTTTATACTGAGAGTCTCAGATTACTTCACATATAAATCCCCTGGAGTTTTAGTCTGAATAGAGCTTTGGAAAATTATGTTTGGGACTACAGTTGGACTTGTTGTTGTGTGCCTTCAATTCGTTTCCAACTTATGGTCACCCTATGGGTTTTTCTTGGTAAGATTTGTTCAGAAGTGGTTTGCCATTGCCTTTCCCTGAGGCTGAGAGCATGTGACTTGCCCAAGGTCATCCAGTGGGTTTCATGACCGAGCTGAGAATCGAACCCTGGTCGCCAGAGTCATAGTCCAAGATTCAAACCACTATGCCACTCTGGCACTCTTCTTTCCTAAACTCAGGGTTTCTCTACTTAAAATAGTAGTTTTGTATGTTGTTCCTCACTAATAATTTTTGTTCTCTTGTTGCCTGGCCAGATCTATGAAATGTTGGAAGATATGTTCCTTAGAGATGGTTGCTGAAGCAAATTTGGTATGAGAATAGCTGAGTAATGGAAACAGGAAGATAGCCAAACATTAAGTATCTAGTATTGGTAGAGTATGCCAGGGTGGATGCTCCTTTGTGGCACCCATTGACCTGCCCTATCCATCATTTCTCATGGAATCACATGGTTTGGTTTAACTTAGCTGATCTTTAAAAATTATCTAAAACCTTCTCTCCCCCCCCCCCCCCCCCCCAGCTATTTAGACTGGCTGCAAACTGTCTTAGGCTGCTGCCACACTGCAGAAATAAAGCAGTTCAACCCCACTTTAGCTTCTTTACCTACATGATGGAATTCTGGGATTTGTAGTTTGGTGGGTCACCAGATCTCTCTGACAGGGAAGGTGAAGTATATCACAAAACTACAAATCCCAGAATTCCATAGTATTGAGCCAATGCAGTTAAAGTAATGTCAAACCAGATTATTTCTGCAGTCCAGATGCAGCCTTAGACCCCATGCTGGGAGAAAGGAGGGGTATATATTAAAATAAATGAATAAATGTAAAGAATGGAAGAAACAGATTTATGGGTGCAAAGATGCACGTATTGAGTTTCATGTTGTCATTCATGTCTTCACAGAAAAGTTGTTTTAGTTCCTTCCCAGATGAGGAGAAAACTTGAAATTCATTGTTCTTGCATGTGGGAATGAAAATAAGTATGGATTTATACACACTCCTGTATTTTGAAACCTTCTGGAGAGAATTCTTTATATCTCACCACTATCTTGGGCACATCTGGAGGGATCACAGCAGAGGGCCTTCTTGGTGGCAGCTTCCAGGCTCTGGAACTCCCTCCCCAGAGAGGCATCTTCCTTGCTGTATTTCCATAGGCAGGCAACACTTTTTTTATTTTAGCAGGCCTTGGAAGACTGCTTGTCCAAAGTGAAAAAGCTTTATGTATATGCTTGATTTCCATTTGCTGTTTTTTTAATTGTCTATTTTTAATGGGTTTTAAATTTTTGAAAGCATAATTACATTTTTAACTTAACCTTTGTATGAGATTATTATTATAGTTTAGCTTTGTTTGCTTCAACTGTTATAAGCGACATTGAGCCCCAGACTGGGAAAAGGCATGATGATGATTGTGATGATGCTTCACTGATACAGATACGTGGATACCTTTTGCAATCCTTTTACCAACATCCTGGTGCTCCTGCAAAGATATGTGTTTTGGGCTTCAAGTTGCTATTCAAGTTTTTACAGAAAAGTTGTTTTAATTCCTTACTGCAGTCTCGTACTATTGTTGCTGGAGCAATATTCTACTTTTTTTTTTTTTAAAGAGAGACTGAAGCTCCTGTATAAAGATAAACCAATTTCTTCTCCAAGGACAGCTGATTTATGCAACCTGTATAAATGATGCCACTAATTGTATTTGCTCCAAATTAATCCCCTCTGCAGAGGCTTGCTTATTTGCCATAATGTGCAGTCTAGCAATCCTATGTGTGCTTATTCCAAAATAAGTCTCATTATGTGCGCTGGGCCATACTGCCAAGTGCGATGTGCATTTCTTTGTTTATCATTGCCAAAGAAGAAAATGCAGATCTTAAGTCCCATCCCTTGTTGACCTTGTCCAAAACTGCTGGTTCCTTCATTTAGAATTCTGAAATTTGAAATACTTCAAAATCCAAAACTGTCCACATGGGTGGCTGAGACAGTGATACCTTTACTTTCTGATGGTTCAGGTTACACAAACATTGTTTCATACATAATATTATTAAAAAATCTTCTGTATAAAATTACATTCAGGCTATGTATATAAACTGTATAGGAAACATAAATGAAGTTTGTGTTTAGACATGGGTCCCATCTCCAAGATATATCTCCTTGGTTGTTGTGTGCCTTCAAGTCATTTCTGACCTGTTGGGACCCTAAGGTGACTATAATGTGGGGTTTTCTTGGCAGGTTTCTTCAGATGGGTTTTGCCATTGCCATCCTCTGAAGCTGAGAGGATGTGACTTGCCCAAGGTCACCCAGGGGTTTTCCATGGCTAAGCCGGGATTTGAACCCTGGTCTCCAGAGTCATACTCCAATGCTCATACCACTATATCATGCTGGCTTTCTTTATCTCCTTATGTATATGCACATATTCCAAAATACTTCAGTTCCCAGAGATTTCGCAAGAACATAATAAGCTGTTTTGGGGGGCTGCTCATGATAAAATTATCAGTCTTTCCCAGCAACCCAGGAGGTGACTGGAAATAACACAGTATTGCTTTAGATCACCAGAAATGGCAGACTGAACAATGTCTTGTGACTCCTGGAAACAGAGTGCTGCAGCCCTCCAGGCTGCAGATCATCACCATCCCAGTGCTACGGCATAATTTTAAGTTTTTGAGACTTGCAGGGATGACATGTCCAGATGGCAAAAGGAGTTGGTAGGGATGGTATCACCCACCTCCTTCTCTTTCACATGATGATTTTCCACAGTATTTCAAAAGTCTTTTCCAAATTGGAAGTTCAAGAAGTATATTTTCCCCATGCCTCTTCTAAAAATCTCATCTATGTGTGGGAGATTGGTAGTGAGAGGTGACAGCATTGGCGCCTCTGAGCTGTGCCCTCATTACTTCCCTGTTGGCTTGCTCTGCTGTTGCTTTCCATTGCAATCTGGGCAGTGGCTGCCCTTGTTGGTCTTGAGTTGTGTTGAATCATCACCATTCCAGTCCATGGGGCTTTATTGACACATTTCATGAGCAGATTGACAAGAGAATAAATTGAGGCTCAAATTGCCATGCTTAGCAGAGATGGCAACATATGTTGAGTGACAGGAATGTGCAAGATAGGAAGCAGATTTGTTGTCAGCTACTTTTGGGTTGACTTTGATCCATGGTGAATGACCCCTCAACTGATCTGCAGGCTCAGGCCCATGGTTTCCTTTGTCTCCTTGATTGGGTTTCACCATCTGGTATGTGTTCTTCCTCTCTTTCTTCTGTCCTCCACTTTTCATCCCATTATTGTTTTTTCTAGTGAGTCATGCCTTCTTGTGTCTGGCAGTCTCAATTTATTCATCCTGGCTTCCAGGGAGAGTTCAGGCTTTCTCTGTTCTAGGACCCATTTATTTGTCTTTTTGGTTATCCATGGTAACCTTAGCATTCTTCTCCAGCAACATATCTCAAATTAATTGATTTTCTTTATATTGTTTAGGCTGGGCAATGGAGGTGATGAAGAGTAATTTGCATGTGAACCTCTATTGTGATTGAATGGTATAAATCTCTGCATGCAGATTTAGGCATTACTGACAACTGAATGCATCACCAAATGGGTGCATATACCCTTGCACAATGCAATTTCATGCAGAGATCACATGTGCATCCATGAAAAATTCACATCCAGACTCAGTGGCACTACATGCACAACTCTGTTCAAGAGTCTTGAACTGAATGTGGTAATTTTACGTGCCCAGCTGCTTCCATGGGGGAAACTGAGCATGCATAAGATACCAACTGGTGTATTCTAGGGTATTACTTTCTGATTTTCCACCTTCTGGCCTGATTCCCATTCTTCCCTGAAATGTTCCCTCTCTCCTCATCTTGATCTGAAGCTGGGTGTAGTTTCAGACTCCATTAAGGGTTCTTTATATGCCAAACACTGACACATATTACTGCAATAGCATAAGCTTTACTGATGGTAAATGATACAGCCTGTGGTACACAGCAGTGAAGCATTCCAGCTTTTTTGCTAGTGGAGTCCAGGACTCTTCACAGCCAGTGGTAGAACTGGGTCCCCCCATGAATTCTATCCAGACAGATCCCTTTGAGTCTCAATCAAATCAAATCCCTATCACTGGACATACATAGTATCTGAGTCTGTATGCACTCCCTACCAGACCAAGGCAAATGGAAGATGGATTCCCAAAGGCTATATGGTGTAGAAGCAAACAAAGAAAATCCGAGTGTGCAAGTGTGACCCATTTTCCCCATAAGAGTAATGAGAATAGTGCAAAAAAGTTAACAACAGAGAAAAGTTAACTCCCCCATCAGTTCTGCCCCTTCACATCTTTTCCCAGCCTCAATCTGCAAAGTGAATACAAGTATCCAAGAAATCACTAATAGAAATGAACCCTTTAATGCCACTGCATAGCTGTTAACATTTGAGCATGATGACTCCCAAACTCATTTGTATGGTGGCAGAAGCCCATCTCACTTACATCCCTTTTCTAGAAACCCTGAGTGGGATGTTATTTTTGAACATAACATGCAGGCTTTTAGCAGTTCAAACCATTGCATTGTTTTGCATTTGAGAGAGTCTTGTCCCCACTAATATCTTGTGGGTAGGGCACAGAAGGACTTCCATTTGGGTTTCTGGAAATCTACTGAACAGTTTCAGTAATTTTCTCTAGATTATTACACTGTGAGAGAAAGGAAGATTCCCCCCCCCTGTTTTTTTTATAATCTCTTTCTCACCTGTGTCATGAAAGGATGGTATGGTGCCAAAAGTCTCCATGTCAATATCAGACCAGATGCTATCAATGTGAAAACAATTTTAAAAAGTTGCAGGGCTCTTCTCTTGCTCTACCAAGCTGTGTCGTGTGGGGCAACTGATCACATAACCAACACTGCCATAATGCTTACAAGAAATAGTAAAACATTTGAAGCTGTTTAGCTTAGGGTGAGAAAGGAGAGACATGAAAGAGGTCCATTAAATTGCACATGGCATGGAGAGAAGACGGGGAGCAGCTTTTCTCCCTTGCACATCATACCAGCACTCATGGCCATCAATGGAAGCTAAATGATGGGGAGATGTGGGAGAGATGAAAGGAAGCACTTGTTCCTGCAAACCAATAGCTAAACTGTGGAGCTCTCTGCCAATGGATGTGGTGATGGCTGCCAATGTGAATGACTTTA